TTTTTTTTTTTTTTTTTTTTTGTATTTTTCCTTTATATTATGATTTTTAATTATCATATTTAATTATAATTGATTTTATTATCATTTAAATTATAGTAAATTCATCATTTATTTTTATCTTATTACATTATTGTTAATTATCCATAATAATTAAAATAATATTCAATCTTATTCATATTCCTACTTCTGTTATATTATATATGAATGGTACATAATAGTGTGATTTATATTTATAAATTTGTTATTTTCACAAATTATATTACCACTTCTGCAACTTTTAGAGAATCTCACCAATTCTGCCATCCACCCCGTCCATTGGTACCCCGTCCATTGGTTCTAAATTGAATAACTTATTGTAACTTTCAGAGAATCTCATCGACTCTGCCATCCCGTCCATCGGTTTTGAATTGAACAACTTATTATAACTTTCAGCAACTTATTGCATGTTGCTGAAAGTTCCGTAAAGCATATTCCCTACGTTAATGTTGAAATAAGTAAGTTAAAAATCCAATATGGTCCTTCAACTTTCTTTTTTTAACCAAACATATCTTTAAAATTGAAAATGTATTAAAAAGTAATCTCAAACTTCATCATGTTAATTAGTTAATGTGTATCACTTGCCCCAAAAAATTTGTGCACTTCAACTATGTAAGTTTCCCCTTAACATTGAAAAATTCAAAAAATTTTATTACTTCATGGAAAACACTGCAACATCGTTAGTTAACAAACAAAAGGACTAAATTGGTATAAAAAAATAAAATTCAATGGTAGTTTGTTTATTCTTTAAAGTTGATGGATACATTTGGACCAAAAACAATAGTCCAGGGACACAATGAAATTAGTTTTTGTTAATGTTTTTCGCAATATGTTGCATGTTGCTGAAAGTCCATTTCAATATACAAATCACATACCTGGCCAGTTTTACATTTCAATCTCCCTTCTCAAACCACGCATCCATCTTCCCTCCCATCTTCAGCTTATCTTCCTTTCTCAATTTATTATATTCTGCCCAGCATATTAAGGTAGTCAAGAAATATTTTACTTTGTCTTCTTCATATTTGAGTTGGTTTAATGTTAGTTTAATGTCTTCCTCTTGTTTCCTCACCTTTATCTATTTTATTTAACATATATAATTAAACCCATTTTATCCTCTAATTTCATAATTTTACGTTTGGTTAGTGTTTTACACAATACTTTTTCCTTAACACTATATCTAAAAATATATATTTATTATAAATAATTAATTTTAATTAATATTTTATATATTTTAAATAATTTTAA